ACAAACCCACATACAGGAACAAAACTGAAATGAATCAAGCTTTGTATGAAGACCTAAAAAAAGTCATGTAATTAGTAGTATTTTCCATAGTAGTTTTCATTCATAATGTATATACATAGTTATACCTTTTACACAAGTATTTAACTTAGAAGCAATACTTGTACTTGTAATTGAGTATTTTTTTAGGCATGTAATGCTTTCCACCACCGCTTAGCAATAACCTCATATTCTTATTTTTATCTTTCAGATTTCTAGAGTGTTTCATCTCCGGCCAGATGGGAAGTTGGAACAGACAGTTTCTATGGCGACAAACAACCAGCCATTGGCGCAGCACTTGCACATCACTTACCAGCGTACATCCTCCTGAGCTAACAGTCTGGCAGATATTGACCTCATATAACTTATGACCATAGGCAGATTTTGTTTTTTTTACAATCACACTGGTGGAGGCACTGATTAGTTTCAGAATATTTGCACTGTTATCCTATACGCCTGAATTTTTCTTAAGCTGAAGTCCATGGCAGCTGGTGTATTGTTTATGTGAAGGCGTAAATAAATATTAAGCAAAAAAGCTGCAGATATTTCTCTATATCTTTAGCAGTTACTATAAAAATATATTCTTTGAAATATGCCCTGATATACTACAGTTTGGATATCTTATATTGTTCTTTTGTTCTTCATACACAGCGTTTCTATTTTGTGTGTGCAAGTTGTTTTTTGACTATACTTAATTACAATGGACAAGTGAATACAATGCAGAATAAGTCATTTGGAATGGTTTATTGTGGAATATATCTTTACACACACACAGTTATAAATTAACACTGAAAAAAGACTCACAGGCAAACTGCACAATCATCCTGGCAAGCCCTTGAGGCTGGCTGTATACTGCAGTTGTAAAAATAATGAAATGTCCAAATACAAAATTACATTTAAAGTGAAAAAAAAAAAGTTAAAAAATAAATTCATAAATACTATTTACAAGATAAAAATAGGCTTGTACTAATTAGCTCAGAATCATACTTTGTTTCAGTTTCATCTGCCTCCTCATCTTTGGTCAAAACAACATCCTGTACCAGCATGATTACAATACACTACATTCTTGTATGGTTAAGTTCAAAGTTCATAATCCTTATAACGTATCTCCATGAAATACCACACTACTCCACACAAGTGTCACATGAACCCTCCACACAGAGATGTTGAACTCAATCAACCTCTGATTATGATACTTGCATTTCCTTTCACTGTACTGTCAGCCCTGCAAAGCTCAAGCGAAAACATGGAAAGCATGGAAGCATTAAGAATTGATCAGTGTGGGAAAATTGCCTCTCAAGCAACATATTCAGTACAGTTGTTCCAATAACGGCCAGGACAGAAATGAAATGTAACTGGAGTTGATGCTTCAGTATTACCTGTTAACTTTATGAACAGCACAATGTATGCTGATGAAACAGTTGTAAATGATTCAGCAGCAGAAGTAGCCTTCTATAGTCCCATATTTTTACTGAGATACCAGTCCCAGCAAACACTGGCTACGGTGGCCTGGTGGGTCTTTAAGGCTCCTTCATGATGTAAACGTACAGTGATGTGAGGAAATATTTCAAAGAGTCTATAACAGAAGACATCCAGTGGTTCTCTGGTATCAAGTCTTTTCTCAACACACATTTAGTGATCTCCACCTGGAAAATAATTGAATAATTATTTAATGTGTGTTGAACACTGGCAAGATTAATAAAGTGAGGCAAGTTTAATAAAAGTGAGATTCAGTTATCTTTACAGAAATTAATGAATGACATATGATTTATCAAAAAATAACACTGAAGTCATAGAATTATACTACTTCCTTTTGAAATATTTTTGCAATCTTGGAAGGATATGCAACATTTTTATCTTGAAAATGTGCAATAAATAAATCATATTCATACACACCCATCCTCCACGCCGTTTGAGCCAGTGAACCAGATACTTGCGAACAAACTGGCCTAGACCGTCCACAATGACATGAACACTATTCACATGACCTTGTCTGACACAGTCCACTGCCAGAGCACCTGCTACTGCGTACATGGCCACAACTTTTCCCCATGTTATACCTGGAACAAAATAACTGCCATTATTGATTTTCAACAAAAACAACAAAGCAATAGTAGGTCTAATTGATACTTTGCAGCTGATGTCATCAACATTCCCTTGGGGTGTAATGCTAACTGTAGGCTCTACTCTGTCTGAGGCTTTATTCTGTGCTTTATTTTAACACAGTCTGATCATAAAAACTCACATAGCTGGAACATAACTGAAATGATTTGTGCTGTTTAACAAGTCTAGGACTGTGAACGCTTGTATTGATCACAAGCTCCTGAAAACGTGTTGTTTAAATCCATTGTGCTTTTTCTTGAGTTTTTAGACAACCTTAAAACATTTTTGGCTGTGTTTGCTAATGTGTGCATTGTATCACCATGGCAACTCCTAAACATTCCATCATTAGAGATACATGTACAACACCTTGAGCATGATGTCACTGCAAAGTATCAATATTTTATTTCACAAGTCAGGACCAGCTCTCCAATATATCATATGATACACATAAAATAACTGTTTACATTAATTTAACACTGTGTATGACCTCACTGTAAGATTTAACTACAGCCATCGTACCTTTCTCTAAAATATGCTGTAAATGCCAGGGTAAAGTCAACAAAGCAATGCGCTTGAGTGGCTGATAACACACCTTAACATGCTGCAGTTAAATTGAACTTGACCAGACATGCCTTCTTGTGTGTAGGTGGTTGTGACACAAGTTAGAAACACATTATCACATTTGGTGCCATAAAACGCAGTTGCACCACAGCTAATTTGAGTGAATGCAACTAACCTGAATGCAATGTACTCTAGTAATTGGAGACATCCGGATTTTAAGGCCAGAGGGGATTGCTATAATGACTGTCAGGGATGCAGTGGCCAGCCTAACAGTATTAACCTCCTTTAGTATGGCCTGCTCTCACTGCTGACCCACACTGTCTGCGGTGGCTATGGTGTAAGGGGATAGAGGTCTTTGCGAGCTTAAAAGAGATCACTCGTCCAATAAGGCTGCAGAATCATGCCTCACTCCCTTCTGAGAAGAAAGCCAAGAATAGACTGAAGATTGTCAAAGATAAAGGGAAGAAATATGGAGGAGAGACAAACTTGTCAGATAACCAGAACATAGGCTACTTATGATGGATTTTCATTACATAATCTGCACAGAAGTCATTTAATTTGTTGACATTGTCTAAGTCATTACATTGACTACAAAGCTATTTTAGATTGGAAGTAAAACAAATCATCCAGCACTTTCTATTTATAACCATTTTAACCACCACACAAGGCCGGGCCAGTCCAAATGTTTTTCTTTATGTGGAATCCCACGCTGTGTCTAAAAACAACATCCATGTGACGTCTAAACAAGCACAACTGAACTCCGAACATGGACATTATATCAGGCCAGCTTAATTTTATCTTTCCATCAAGAAGGCCAAGTCAATGGGCTACGTCTCATTCTTTCCAGACTGACTATGCTAAACCTCAAAGGGGCATACTTGGAAAGCAGAAACTTGCAGGTAGGCAAGACAAAAAAAATTATATTTTTTTAATTATGTCTTTATTAGGATTCTTCTTAAGTTAATTAGTTAATGTCCAGAAGCATTGATTTTTGAGAGAGAGCAGGGTTAGTTTTATACACAAGAATATTTAATTGTGCGTACTGGACATTTTGATATTTATTATAATTCTCTGTCTGTCAGTAATGGCAGCCACAGCCCGCTATGAACGGTAACCACCTGTTCCTTTTTGGATTTATAGACCCCTCACAGCCTTTTTGAAAATGTTCCACTTTTTCATTGTGGATATTATTCTTATTTTTTTTTTTTTATAATTTTAGCAAAAGTCTACCTGCATATCTTTGTATGATTGAAAGCAGAAGCACAGTGTGATCCTCATAGGCCAGTCAACTGGTTGGCAACCATTGAATACTTCAATAAATTATTTCTATTCTTATGCAATTTAAAGAAATAAGCTTTGTCATGACGGCACCAACCTGTTGAGAAAATCTCTGTGGCTACACCAATGAAGGCATCTGACACCATACTCTCCATGGCAACAGAGATGTTCAGCTGCCGTGCCACGTTTCTGTACAAACTGGGCTGTATACACTCCAGCTCATCGCCTGGGCAACAGAGGATGGAAGAAAAGACAGCAACAATGTTCACGGTCAATGACAATTGCAACTAAGCAGAAAAAAAGCTGCTATGTATATATGGTATGTATGCATTAGTGACAGTTAAGATGCCATGTCACAGAAGTTACATGACACATATAGCAAACTGATTCAGGTTGCACACAATTTAAAATATATAACACTTAAGTAAATTATATGTATGATATATGTAATGTGCATAGGACCTCTAACTCTCACTTACCAAGACAGAGAAGGACCACAGACACCTCACAGACAGATGAATTTGAAGTAGAGAAATTGAGCTCAGTTTTTGACCATCCAAGTCCATTCTGGTTAAGTCTTGAGATAATGTAGTCTTTGCACAAGGCTTTAGACTGTGACACCAGTTCTTTATCAGTCAGTGAGCGGTCAAACACATCCAGAACCTCTGCTGCAAAGCCTGTAGAGCGCCACAGGACCTCCATGCCAGAGGGATGTGGACTCTGGAGATCAGTGGATGAGATAAGGCACCTAGAAAGAAAAGCATGCTTCTTTTACATGTTATATTTTACATAAAAAACATCTGGGCCATTCTACATACTATAATTATGGTAGTTTGAATAATTCTCACCGAGAAATGGTACTATAGCTTATAGTCCATCTACTGCTGAACAAGAATTTAAGATTTAAAACGTACCACACAGTATACCTAAAGGTAGACCTACATTGTCTGTGTCTAACTAACAGAAGTTACATAAGAATGAATTGTAGGCGTTATTGTTTTGAGTGGGACAGTCAAAGATACTGTAAGTATTGCTACGTCTTGAGTGTTATGCAAGATGCACTCTCATACAGTCGTTGATTTAACTATGAGAATGCGCAACATAATTATGTCCAATGTTGAAGAGTCCGTAGACTAAACTAAACAATCACGAGCAATACCTTTCAGCTTGAAGAATCTGCGCTTACCTTCATTTTACCCACGTAGGCTGTTGGCGTGCGTGGTTCATTTTGTGTTTATTTCCAAAGAAGCTCAGGCAAGAGTGGGAAATGTTCCAGATAACTGTAGCCTACTCCCCCCGTTGTGATCCTGTATTTCATCTGCCTAAACAAAAAAAAATAGAAAAAGCTTTGAGAAGTTTTGGCACTGTACTTGTTGTTCTCCGTTCAATGTGATCCTCTCGTTGAGTAATAAGCGCACGACTGAGAGACGCAGCGGGAGGACGCCTACCTGTGGGTCCACCTTCCAATCGACGCACAGCGGGTGCGTTTGTTTTACAACTTGAAGGCATCCAGCGAAGGTGGAGCTCTGCGATCAATGGTCCACTTGGAGCAAGAATCACTCCCAAAACTTAATTCAAGCGCATATTAATTGAACAGATAAACTTTAACGCGTCCACAAATAGAAAGCCATTAAAGTTGTGCTAGACACTAATCCTTTTCTTCCTCTGGTCCCAAATGTGTTCATTTTCCAACATTTTGCGCAGGGTCAAATATCTTACCTGTAGCGTGTACAGTGCTGATGCAGCTAACCTCAGAGCAGAGTTTATGTAAGTGTGTCGTTCTAGAGCCAAAAGTGTCACACCTAATCCTCAGCAGACGAATATAGATGTGACTGAGACCTGCCGAGACGATCTCAGTCAGGTAACTGCCCCGTGAAGTCAAATTCATTCTTAAAGTTTAAAACAGGAAAACGTTAGCCTCATTATCTTAGGTTTAAACATTAATTAGGTCTACAAGGTAGTACTTTAGGCTACATTAGAATTCATATACCTGCTTGCTGAGTAGACCTACAGATTTTAGATTTTAGTACCACCTATTTCCATATATATATATATATATATATATATATATATATATATATATATATATATATATATATATATATATATATATATATATATATATATATATAAATAACATAAAATAAAACATAATAATTAAAAAAATCTTTCATGCTAAAGTTGGCCACATGATGTCACTATTTAATCTTTTCATTATAACGTTAAGTCTACACAATTTTTACTTTATGATTTAAAAAAAAAAAAATTATTCAAATGTCTTTATTTTACATTGGAAATAAAATATTGGGGCACTATTTCCAAATGTAAGTGACAAAATAGCCAGGTAATATTGACTGAAAAAATTATAAAATAAATAAATAAAAAGAAATAAAACAATTGATTCCAGTGTTATTTAGTCTATAATGGTACCTCAGCTTGTGTCATGATGAGCAAGTACAAAAGGATTTCCAGTGGTCATAGCTGAAGGCTGTGGCCGTTTCCGTAATGGATCCAAAAAAATTTATTATTTGGAATAAGTATAGCCTATAGTTCCAGATCTACAAATTAATCATACCTTGAAAACCAAATTTATTTTATTTTATTTTATTTATTTTTGTCAATTTCAGCAAATTCCTGTCTAAATTATTCAATTGGGTAATTGAAAGACATGAGGATGTCAGCAGGACATTTGCTGGGCGATGGGCAAAAACAATGTTGTCAGTTTCCACACAATAAACACAATTGTTTTACAAATTGAATAATAAATAATGACATCTGGGACAGCTGACTCAACAACAAACACATCCATCACGTTCCATACCCTAATACTTTAACTAAAGCTAAGATGTATTAGTGCCCTCTGTTAATGCCTTAGGATTTTATTTTATTTATTTATTTATTTTATATAATAATGGTCATGATGTATACAGGGTTAACCTAGGTGTCAGACAGTCAGATCATTCACTCATTGTACATCTGAAATTGTGCACAAAGTTTAAACAATATAATCAGATATAAACTTCTCCCTTTGTTCTGCTGTACAGATTCCATTCATTCCAAGTAACCGTTCGATGTTACGCACACATTTGGGAGACTCCAGGCCACACACCCATCATCATCACTGGCCCTTGGCAAACAGGTTAAACCAGAGGCACTGGAGAGCTCTACATAGCAAACCCAGCCCTACCACAGGGCGGGAAGGGATCGGTGAAAAGTGACGTTAGGTTTGTGGGTGTATGATAACTTATGTCAGTTCAACTTTGCCCTAAATAATTCCTTATCGATATTATTGTGATTGCTGATAACACTGGGTGAGTTTCTTGGGCCTGGGTTCAGTGTTAAAATTTAAGTTCTCAATCAGGTTAAAAATGTTTTATGCACCTTTATATATGTCAAACTTTTTATTACATTGGTTTATCAAATATTGGGGCCAATTTTGCTTTAACCAGGGTGGACAACTCTCTGACCCCATCCCATTCACTAAACTGACAGTCCAATGAGAGGCTGTCAAAGTCAGTGTGAGAAGGTGGAGCCTGGCTTGAAGCAGGGTGTGGTTCTGAAACCAGCAAGATTTCTAGTAATTCTCAGGGTTTTAAAATGAGCACAATCTGTTTAGTCAGTCAGTAGAGACATCGCTAAGACCTTTACTCATCCATTTCCTAACCTTCCCTCTCTCCACCCCTTTGTTCATTCCATACAAGAATCTAATCATATCTTTGTCATTGCATTCTGAACTCTGCTGGAGCATTGATTTGAAGGGGTGGACTCCAGGCCTGGTTTAACTGGTACTTGGATACAGACTGTGTGCTCCCTGCTCTGGCTGTGCAGCTGCTCTCTGATAGCGCCAGAGACCAGGGCTCAGGAGGTAAGTCTTTTTATATTTGAACATCTCTTTCACAGAAGCTGGTGATTGTGACTAGGTGCTTTGTGAGGCACACATGTAAATTATACTAGTCTTTGTCTGTGTTTACTCCCTAATAGTTTAGAAACATATTTCACTCTAAGCTCTGGCTGCCCATGCTCATCGCTCAGGCTGGGCATATGGCCCTGATCTCTGCCTCACCTGTTTGACGGGCTCTGTTAGTCAGCATGAGAATATTTCATTGTTTTTAAATGAACAATTTCACAATTTCTCTAAAGCCCACATTGATTCATTGATTCATTGATTCATCTGTGATGAAGATTTGGAGTCACACAAATCATTTTAAGAAGCTTCCAGAAATTACCAATATTTTTTTGTTCATGTTCCAAATATGCTGTTTTAATGGTAGTAGAAACATGTATTGATGTTCATTGCAAATGTACAGCTGTCTACTGTTTATTCAGTGAAGAGAGCAGGTGGTGGGGTTAATGTGTGCTCACCAGTGCAGAAAAGACCTATGTAGGCCTATTTATACAATATTGTAAGTATGTATTTTCTTTTTAGGGTGATTTAGGGTGATACAGGGACAGAACAAGGCTGTCAACATGTCGCGACAAATTGCATCAGGGATTGTACAACTCAACGATTACTTTTTTGAAAAAATAGGTGAGTAGTGCATTTGTAAACATGCTTTTAGTCAGTATACAGCAAAATGTCTAGCTCTAAATGTATATGTTCTTCTTTGTTTTGTTTGTAGATGTCAGAGTTCGGGACTACCCACTAATGCAGAGTCCTATAGATATGACTGTTATACTGCTGACCTATGTCTTCTTCTCTGTGTATGCTGGGCCACAAATCATGGCCAACCGCAAACCTCTACGATTAAATACAGCTATGATATGCTACAATCTATCCATGGTTTTATTTAATGCTTACATTGTCTATGAGGTATATTTCCAAACAAAACTAAATATAAAAACTAAAATATGCTAATGTTTGACACAAACTTTTTCTCTTCTCAGTTCTTGATGTCAGGATGGGCTACAACATTTACATGGAGATGTGACCTAATCGACACCTCCAACAGTCCACAAAGCCTCAGGGTATGGCAACACATGAACAATGTTTTTTCAACTAAAGGTGTACTATGTAACTTTTCTGGTGGAGGGTTTGCCACCTGTTGTCTTCATGGAAATGCTATTGTGTTGCCTTGAAATTTCCATAATGTTGAATTTTTCCATCTCCATGGTGACAAGCACATGATATCACCAGGCCAAGTTACAGGTTAGATCTGAGGAGAGGCAACCCTGCTCACACTAAGATCACATGTTTCAATTTTGAGCAAGCAATAAAAACCCTGTAACTGAATGACTACAAGATATATAAGTAATTATTTAGTGCCATTTATTTATTCATTTAGAAACATTCCAGGCAAAGCAGAAAGATCTTCATGAGACAAAGGTGGTAGATCCCCACCAGAAAGTGACATAGAATCTTAAAGTTCATTCTGGATTTTATTAAATATGGTATTGAACACATGAGGCATTTCTCAGCAACCGTTTTTTAACGATGTACACTTTTCTCCAGTAACAACTTTAACTAGAAAAGCACTCAGAGAGTTCAGACCTCCGCCAAGGACTACCTCCATTTTTTATATAAATTGCGATAAAATCAGTCTTCTGGATCAGATCCAGATCAGCCTTTGGAATATGAAAGAGGATCCCATTGTCCATCCCTGAGTCAAATTTCATGGGGTTTGGTCAATAATTAACTGAGATATTGAGAAACTAGAAAAGCACTCAGAGAGTGCAGACCTCCGCCAAGGACTACAGTCCCCCTCATATTAATTGTGTTTTCCATAAATATTTGTCTCGTATCTTTCAATTTGGAATATGAAAGAGGATCTCATTGTCCATCCCTGAGTCAAATGTCATGATGTTTGGTCAATAATTAACCGAGATATTGAGAAACAAAATTTTTGGCCCCATTTACCACAATGTTAACAAAAATTTCAAAGTGATCCAGAATCCAGGATTTCTTCCGGATCACCCCCAAAATGAAATCATTTCTTCCTTTTCACATTTCCAACAAATCCTGAAAATTTCATCAAAATCGGTCCATAACTTTTTGAGTTATGTTGCTAACAGACAAACAAACAAACAAACAAACAGACAAACGCCGGCAAAAACATAACCTCCTTGGCGGATGTAATAACCTACAGATGCAAATTAATGAGACGAACATGTCCATAAATAATGTTGTATGCAATCATTTAAAATTACATGGGAAAATGTGATTGGACTCTTTTACTGAAAGTCAAAATACTTAATTGAAAAGAGTTTGATGGTAAAGAAAACCATCAAAAACCCTTCTGAAATTGGACGCATATATTGTGTTTTGACACTTAAACATGACATTGTGGGCCCTTTTTTTCTGAGGTGTAGTAATCTACCTGTCACCAATGCAGATGGATTTATTAATTGTATTTACTTATTTAGCAGGGACATTGCAAAATAAATGTATTGCACAGACCGAATTTAGCTACAAGCTAATTTTCATCTGTAGCTGGCATCTTTGTTTTCATCCCTTTTTGCATGTGTTAAATATCATTTCACATTTTTACACACAATGTAATCTTTGGACATCTGTGGATAGATTGTCTTTTACCATTTTTATTTTATTTTTTTAACATATCTTTACATGAAGTGAATGCTTGTGTTGTTCTTTCCTAGATGGTTCGAGTAGCATGGATGTTTTATATTTCAAAATACATTGAACTTCTGGACACAGTAAGTAATAAGTAAATTGTATGCAAATATAGATAAAATATTGTAACCGTTAATTTGTGGTAAATGTGTTAAAATTTTATTTTAGGTGTTCTTTGTACTAAGGAAGAAACAAAACCAGATTACATTTCTTCATGTTTTTCACCACTCTGTTATGCCCTGGAGTTGGTGGTGGGGTGTCACTCTTACCCCTGGTAAGCAGGCATACATACTGTACAGTTTAAACATATTATATATTAGAAAAGTAAATGAAGCGCCAGCAATTTAGATGCAATTTTTTAGTTGTGACATAGATAGACAGCTCTACTTCCAATAGCTGTCAACTTTTACTTTTCACATTTCACAAAACTGTGACAGAATTACAGGTAATATATCCACCACGTGAAGTAATAATTCGAAAAAACAAAAACAAAAAACAGAAAAATATGCACTTTAAGCCCATGATGCAGACATGATATCCCACCTATTTTGTATTTTGATTCTCAAGACAATTATCCTGTCAGAAAGCAGAATGAGCCTCACATGAGTCTCATTTGAATTGCCAATTGAATTGAATACTGAAATCTAGCTTAAACCTAAATGGACTCTCTCTGATGTGGACTGTCTCTACCTAAATCCACACCTGCAGCCAAACCCTAACCTGTGTCTCTGCTGTAATGTATGCTGTCCACATACGGAGAATGGGAAAAACTGGTCTGTGTTCTCTCTCTGTAGGTTTAGGCACTGACAGCACAGGCTCAGTTGTGACTGTAATAGGCCTACCCTTTTGTAGGAGTGTGGGCTACATATACTTCCAATAAAATGCATTAAACTCTTTCCCCATTCCTCTTTCAGCTGGAGGAATGGGGTCTTTTCATGCCATGGTGAACTCTGCTGTCCATGTCATCATGTACTTTTACTATGGACTATCTGCTGCTGGCCCACGCTTTCAGAAATACCTGTGGTGGAAGAAGTATATGACTGCCATCCAGCTAGTATGTGATTCATGTTTTGTATAGTTCGCACCTATTCAAACTAACCATAATCCACTGATATTTATTCTGTTACATTTCTCTTGACAGACTCAATTTATTCTGGTGTCCATTCATATCAGCCAGTACTATTTTATGGAAAAATGTGATTATCAGTTTCCATTGTGGATTCACCTCATCTGGATGTATGGTGTCTTCTTCTTTGTCCTCTTCTCTCGTTTTTGGGTGCAAGCTTACATAAGGGGCAAGCGACTTCCTGCCTCAGAGAGCACCAAAGAGACGAATGGATCAACACAAGACAATGTTAAAATTTTGGCCAATGGCAACCACGTGGGTAATGGACATGTTCATCACCATACCAATGGAAATATATTCATGGGAAAAGTAAAGGAAATTTGACCAGAAGTATGAAGAATCTGCATTTTGAACTGGTTATTTTAGGACAGTCTTGATTAACACTGCCTAAGATTTTGTTGCTACCCCAAGCACGACAACACTGTGTCCATGCAAGAGTGGAATGCCTTTGAGAGTGTGCACATCAGGAGTATGTAGCTGGCTTTGTGTGATGCCAGTTGTCCTCTGTTGTATGTAACTAATTTTTGTATTAGTCACTCAAGACTGTTGCTTCTCTCCAATTTAAACTCAGGCTTGAATCTGACTCTGACTGGAAGACTGTATGACAGCTGATGTTTCGGAGTATTGCACAATTTCCACAGAAGAACAGCACATGTAAATACTAAATGAAAGTCAGAACATGTTTAATAATGAATGTTTGTTTATTTAACTCTTGAAATAAAACTATGTTTTCAGTTTGATTTGTAACATGGGTAAACCTAAATGTTGTTAAGAAAATGTTTAACCACAGTCACAAATTATGGACTTTTTATTTAGACTGAACTGTGAAATAACATACTTGCCCTGAGCAAGTAGGGCTTTGTAGTTTATTTTACATAAACTTTTTACACCCAATGGGTATGTGAAAGCATATTTTCTCATTATTGTTAGATGGCTATATCTAATGAATCAGTCAGTGCTTTAATTTAAAGCCGTAGTATGTAACATTTTAGCCAAAAAATATACTTAAATAAAAGCAAGTTATATATATTTCTTTCATTTTTGTTGTTTTTTATTGCACTGACAAATGTGTCCTTAGTGTGGGTTGGCTTGCATCTCCACAAATTACTCATCTGGCCTGCAGGACGGATTCATGTTAATTTGGCTATTTTCCACAGTATGGCAGAAAAATAGCCTATCCATCTCCATGGAGAATGTTCCAAAGTATGGTTGTTAACTTTCTATTTTCATAAAATTTGTGTTTTACATTTCTTAGGAGCACTATAAAACTCACAGGATGGATGGTGGTGGGTGTGTGCTGTACTGAGCTGAAAGTGAGTTCCTGCAGTACAGCACAGAAATGGAATTTCTCCAACAATGGAATTTCTCCAGCAGTGGGGTTGGCCTCCTACTTGTCCCCATGGAGATGATATTTGCATAATGTCACACAAACTATTGCCTTAAACTTTTCTTGCATATTTTTAGTAAAAAAAACCAAAAAAACACCTGCAATTCATTTACTGTGAGTAGGATCGCCACAAAACTGACCCAACCTTGGATGTGGGTGATTATCCAGCATGGAGACAAGTAGGTGACCAACCTTCCAGAAGAGTTGATTTATTCACCTTGAAAGATTAAATTAGAAATTGTAGAGACCACTGAAGGCAGCACACACACATTTAGATTCAAGAGTTTTTGTTCAGAAAGCTGCCAATTTACCTAGTTTGCACTTAAGTTGCCAAAAAAAAAAGTGACTAGAAGAGTAGACAATGCTTTTGCACTTTTTGCAACATTACACATTGAAATCTGCTCTTCTCTGCCTCCTTTGAACCTTGTTAAATAAAAAGAACAAGTCAGATGGTGAGAAACATTTATTACCCAGTAAACCATCTCATAATTATTCAATAAAAAGTTAAGATTTAAAACTGAACAGTGAAAGAAACCTCTAAATGTGTACTTGCCAAAACAAAACCTTTACACCATCAACAGGAGGAGTTGGGCCAGACAGTTATGGCTAAAATACTGGGCAACATCTTTATTATAGGTTAAATAAAAATAGTTCATTTAGTATTGTGGAAAAAAAAATCCAAGGCTCATTATCTGATAGAGTGGTGCAAGCCAGTAGTTGTTGGTTTGACCATCCGATCCATGGCCTTCTTTTTAACAGGATCCATTTCGAAGCTCTTCCATATTTGAATTGTCTCATCACCAGCAACAGTCGCCATTGTTGAGTTGTCTGGACTTAGAATTACACTGAGCACTCGGTCCGCGTGTCCTTAAGTCAAAAATACAAACATTTTAACACAACGCAATATTTAACAGTAACAATATCTTCGTTTTACTCGAATAATCACTCACCATTGAGCTCTGCCACCTTTGTAAGTGAAGGGTACTTCCACACAACAACGTTGTTGTGGGCATATCCATGTGCAGAAACCAGTTCTTTGTAATTTGGTGCAAAGACAAGAGAAGATACCTGAAAAGAAAAGGTTTATTTTAGCGCTTCATGAATCTATATTTAAAAAGTTTAATATCAATTAGCTTTCAAGCCCCAAAGTTAGCCTTACTTGTGACTGTGAGTCTATTGAACTGATGCAAGAGCCACTGTTAACGTTCCAGATGCGTATGTGACGGTCACTCGTGCCACCTCCAGATGCAAGGATATTTGGTTGCCACGGACACCAAGCCAAGGCCTACAAAAGGAAACTGCATATAATACAGATATCCAACAAAAAATCTGTAGTACTTACAAAAAAATAAAGCACAGCAGACCTTAACAGCTCCTTGGTGTTCACTCCAACAGCGAACAGCCTGGCTCTCATTGCCGACACTACCATCTGACACACGGGGCCATACACACACCAGATTGTCATTGCCTCCACTGGCCAGGTATCTCCCGTCAGGTGACCACTTGAGCCCACATACTTCTTGTGAGTGAGCAGTCAGCGTGAATCTGTGATGTTGCGCCATTCTCACATCATGATGATGGATGTGTCCAGATCTAGAGCCACTGTTAATTAAGAAGTACAGGGCTTAAATTCAGTTTTCGATAAAGGAGGGAATGAAAACACATTTGTACATTTACACTACCTTGAAAGAATATGGTCATTCCAACTGAGGCTAGCAACTCTGGCCGTGTGGCTTGCCATGCTGCGAAGCCTTTTCTGGTTCTCTACATCCCACAGCTGAACCTTGCAATCACTGGTGCCAATTGCAAGATAGCTTCCCTCTTTGGTCCAGGACACAGAACAAATATAATCCTCCTCACGCTCCAGCTTCATCAGAAGAATTACATCTCCTTGAGTTGCGTCCCACAGATAAACATTGTTGTGAAGTGCCACAGCAAGCATGTTTCGACTGCTCCAGTCAAGTAGATTTAGATCTGAAATTTAGCATTAATGAAAAAGTTAACAAAGTATCTCCACAAATATAACACACATTTGGACTTCACTTACAGAAATCATTACGAAGCTGAGGAGCATCCAAAATTTTGTCTGGTGTTGAAGAGATGTATCTAGTCTTTTTGGTTGAGGCAGGAGTTGTACCTTGACTGTAGAGAACCTTCAAATTGTTTTGGTAGCCTGTAATGAAGTGTCACACATTCAACCTGGCTGTCAAACTTTTATATTATATATATATTAAAACACATTTCATTGAGTAATTTCAGTGAAATACCTTCTGGTGCATTTAGAGGCTTTCCTCCAAGGTGTAGGATCTTTGCATCTTCAAGATCATATCCATTTAGGGTCACTGACATGGCTTTCTAATCATAAGTTAAAAAAAAGGTGAGTGTACAAATTTAATAGCAGTTTAACCATTTTATTTACTTACTGCTGAAGTAGTAGTAGGGTTGTCAGGTTCATTTTCTTTTGTGAGCAAAAAGCTGGCCACGTCCATCTGTTTACTGTTTCTAATAGGAATAAAACGGTCGCCACCCATTTTGGAGGGCGTTTGTTTTTTACCCTTCCCTAAAACAGTATTTGGATTAACATGTAGCGGTTTCAGCGACTCCGAGATAGATCACAAACAAAACTAACCTGGGGTCTTGCTGGGCGTTTTTGACGTGCTCAAAGACACATTAACTGACTTCCCAGGCGACAGGCCATTTACTGCTGAAGCGTTGGAAGAACTGGCCTTCCGCTGCCATCTTGCCATTGGGGCATTTGTGATAGGCATATCCAGCTTCAAAATGCTGTGAATGTCGTTCTCAAAGCCGAACTGTGCCATCTTCTGCGGGCAGGAAATACTAAAGAAAGTTGCACCAAGTTAATTTAAAAAATATTCATAATAACCTTATCCAGAAATTGGCGTCGGATTAATAAGACTGATATAACGTTAACGCTAAACAATAACTACTGAACAATAAACAACTCGTAAAGTTATTACATAAACGATTCTTATCACGTTGCTTGTAACTGGCATTTATCCGTATTTATATGCACTGTATTGTATTTTTAACCTACCTCTGAGACAACGCTTGTTCACTCGCAAAGACGCAGGCTGCATTCACTTCCCTTCTCGTGGATTTTGAATCTTGTCTCAGACTATTCACACGGTTTAAATGTCTGAATGCTGGATGGTGATTGGCTAGTTCCACTGTGGCCGTTGTCGATACTATAGCAACAGTTCCAAATGCGGTGCTGTGATTGGTGGATAGCGGCGCATGAGCAGAACACTTTGCTAGTCAAAAGGACTACCGCCATCTGCTGGACAAATTATGAGCATACACGCTTTTAAACTAAATCTGTAAGTAGCTAAAACTACATAAACTAATCTACGTAATTCATTTAAAATCAAAGTTATGGCCATCGTACGTATTTTAAAAGAAAGTTATTCATGCTAGCTTCACCAGTGTAGATTACATTAAAAAGATTTATTTCATGTCTCCATAAAAGTTTTTGACAAATTCAATAAGAATACAGAATAAAAGTTCAACACACAATAAAATACTATTGTACAAAATTGGTTTATTTTTCACCCAAGAGCATAAAAGGATTAACAAACATCCCTGCAATAATCCAGTAGTACAGTTAAAACAATGTGCATTGACAAAATATGAAATAAAAACCAATCTCATGACATAAAGGGATCTGTTGCCTAAATCAAAATATTATAGTACATTAGATAGTGTGGTAGTCAAATCCTTTTGTCTCAGGCGTTTCTTTTGGCATGTCTTTTGGATAATGTATAACTGATCCAATAACACCTGCAGAATAAAAGAAATGTTTCATGTTAACATCCACAGAGTCTATCTGGAAAGCATAATCTTACGGCTCGGTTATAATTTTGGGAAGAATAATTTAAGTATTATATTAGAAAGAAGACTAAAACACAGTAAATGTATTACCTCCAGGGTGCCTCAGACCTAGACAGGGAGGGAAAACACATGACCATGAGAACCCTATAGCATAATCATGTGGCATGTTGTAGTAGGGTTGAACTTAATTAAAGTGCATTTACTCACCCATTGTTTTGGAGAGACAAAGGCTGATTACAAATAGAACAGTAAAAGCCAGAATTGCCAAAATGAGGATCAGTAACTGGTGTAATGGAATGTGTGGAACTAAGAAATTTTAAAAAAAGAAAAGAAAATTAATAAAATAAACACACTAGAGAATGACACTAAACAATTTTAACAGCAAATAATAGGGGTGGTCTTATTCAGTGTTTCTCATTAGAGTTTGCTGAGACATGGTGGAAAAGGTGATCCAGTCTTAGTATAAATGCTCCTTGCTTTTATTCAATCTGTAAACAGTTTGTTTTTTGAACAGCACATTTATGTTTAGAATTTATGATACAATTTCAGAAAAGTAGAATTTATGATACAATTTCATCATAGTCTTCTCTATTAGTGGGGATCTTTCTTTCACAAATTATAGCCTACACCAAGTTATGACATATTGTTGTGTATGTACCTTGTGGCTCCTGAGTAAACTTTAATTCTTTCATTAGCTGGATGCATCCCTCTTGAAGACGTTCACTCTCGATTTTTGTTCTCTCAGCTTCTTGATCCCACTTTGCCTTCAAGACCTGTGCTTGTGGCCCCTGGGCTGTCCAAGTATCAGAAGACTCCAGGCTAAGATGAACCTTCCCATCTAAAAACACTCTGTCCGTCCAATGCAGCTCAGACCCCTCCAGAATGCAGTCACGGGATCGAAGCACAGTATGGTTTCCTTGGGAGCAAGGTACGCTAATCTTTAGTTCAGTGCTCTTCATGATAATGCAATACAGCCGTCTCATAGCATACTTACTTAGTTCTGCTGTCTGATTGACACCACTAAATGGAAGAGCTGCATCAGCCATACTCTGGATAATGTTGTTGATTTCCTGGCTTAGTCCCGTGAATGCAACTCCGTTGAGCAAAACCTGTTGTATGTATGGATGAGCGCCCACCTGGACCTGAACTATGACAGTATCTAAATAAAGAAAACACCATCAACATAGTAAAAGAATGCAGGTTACGAGCAGGTTAACAAAAATAACGCATATTTGCATAACCATAGCTATAAGAATGAACCATATTTATAACCTGCTGTGTTGATACAGCAAACAGAAACGAAAACACATACCCATCGCCAATATATGTCTATTGGTAATACAATTAAATCACACGCACGCTGCCTTTTTTTTTTTCGAAAACTACATAAAGTGGCGGCAAGTAATACACAATACATTACCTATTGGAGTAGTAAAGCAAAGTGTTAAACGGCATAATGACAACACAAACACGCAGCAAAGAAATGTCATGTTTACATCCGCGACGAGAGCAGGGACCCTCCCACAGTCGAAGCGCTTCACTCGACGTTGCCTATTTTAGACAAAATCTTATGCCATTTTAGCAAAACGGAGCAGCGACTGCATCTCAAAGTCAGTTACACAACACTTTCTCCAAAGAAACTGTGATGCTAAACGTTCGCTTGGACGAAAGTTAAAATGTACACACAGCTCTCACCTGATTGGCTACTGTAGACGGCACGTGGATTGGGAGGTCCTTGGCAGACGATTTGAGCTTAACCATAAGCCTGACCATAGACTATACACATAAATGGCCTGACTTAGGTTAAGGCCATAGTATTAACCATGATGTGGGGTTGAGGTTGACTTTATTATTATGTGGCGAAGATGAAAGGATGGATCTATACATTCATGGATAATATCCATTGAAAAGGATGTGCGCAGAAATTAAATAAGTCCGTTTTTCTTGTAGCTGATATTGTCTTGAACTGTTTTGTTCTGTTTAAGATTATGACTTTTGTTATCTTTCATCTTAGCATTTATATGTGGTAGGATAGAAGCATGTGTAAGAAACATTATGACGTATCACATAGGCCTGCATGCTGTCTAACTAAAATAATGATAGATAGCATGTAGACAGTGCAAAAAACAAAAAATCAAAAACAAAACAAAACAAAACAAAAAAACTTTAGTGTGTCTGTGCAAGTGCGTTTCATCAAGTAATCATGTAAACTAGATTCCTGCAGGAATGGATGGGTGGGGTAGGCGTGCCTGCTGTTTAAAATGTTCTAGGCTGGACAATTCTTATCTATTCCAATCATGGACGTGCTTACAGATGTTTATTGATTGTGTGAAGTATGTAATTTAGATAATTTTCATAAAGGAAACTAATTAATGGACGAATAAATATATCAATTTATGGGTCTGTGAAAGCCTATTTAAACTTTGGGAAGTAAGGGGTCTGTTGCCTTTATCGTAAAAAGATGCCCTTGGAAGTTAGGGTCAGTCATTCGATTGTCATTAGATTTAAAAATAAAAATCCTCATAATTGTGCATAGATCCCCTTCATGGACAGCTCCCATGACACCTGCGTGCAGCGCCCCCTAGCGTGCCAAAGGCGGAGTGCTCGCAGCGGATTGGCTGAGCGGTCGTCGTCGGTGTTTACAGGAAACATGGCCTCCTTGTCTGTTGGTGAGCAAGAAATGGAAGGTAAGTGCATCTTGGGTGGTTCGTGGTGTAGACTAGTAGCGGACATGTTTGAAGGGCATGTATCATAAAATCTGTCTTGTTTAATCTGGGATCTTTAGTCGATGCGTTTTCGACTTTGGTTCAAGCTTCTGTAACCCGCTTTCCATAGATGAAAGCTATTGCAGGCTAACAACAATCATAACGCTAACGCATCCAGGCAGCCTTATTCAGTGTATTTGTTTAGTCAAAATTACACTCTACAGCCACATGTGCTTCAATGTTACAAGAAGGATTAACATAAAACATGAAATCGCCCCGTTAGTGGTGAATATTTGACTCGTGAAGGAGGAAGTTTAGCTATCAACGCTAAGAAATAGCTAGCAGCTTTAATGGTATATATTTTTTATGTTATTGCTCTTCATCAGCAAAAGCGTTACATTTGTGTGCAAAAGGAAAACATGTAGCTGTTACTGTCTTCCTGCTGACAGGCAAGCACAACCAATGCCCCATATATGATATCCTCGCCTTCATGCAAGAAGAGGGCGGGGTGCACGTGCGATAGGCATCGTACTACACAAGCAGTAGCTGCTGTCACTGGTCTTACCTGTAATCAAATGCAATCAAGACGAGGCGAAGCTAAAATAATATATTTTCTGCTAAATTTAGTGGACCGGAGAGGGGAGTCTGAAGAATCTGGAGATGACGAAACCAGGCGGAAGAGCATCAATGGTGATGTGGACCCCAATCAGCCCTCTTCCACAAGTAATGCCATGCTGCATTTAGACCTGCATTTATGCACCGGGTAATAGACATGAGCACATTGTAATATGCATTTTCTTTTATTCTAGGTAAAGAGGAGTCTCCCGTTGACATGGACACTATCACTTTGGACCCTGAGGAGGAGGTGCTTATATTTGAACTGTGACAAACATGATTTTCATAAGCTGGGCTAACTTATTATATTTCTTTCTAGGATGTTGATCTTGTGCACTGTCGAATTGGAAAAATTGAAGGATTGGAAGTTCTACAGAAAGCTAAAGTACAAAGAAATAATGGCAACAATAACATGAACACAAATTCATGTAATACTTTTTTTTTCAATTACAGACCCTTTCCTTGCGACAGAATCTCATTAAAAAGATTGAAAATCTTGACAGCTTAAAGTCACTGCGAGAGTTAGATCTTTATGACAATCAAATCCGCAAACTGGAAAACCTGAACAGCCTCATAGAGTTGGAGTAAGTTTGGACATGAGCCATCCAGAATACTCATTTTACTCTTTACTATTATAACATTCCTACTGTCTCATCCACAGACAACTTGATGTGTCTTTCAATGTTTTAAGAAAAATAGAAGGTTTGGAGCAGTTAACTCGGCTGAAGAAACTTTTTTTGCTTCACAACAAAATTGGCAGTATTGCAAACTTGGATCACTTTGCATGCCTTGAAATGTTAGAGCTGGGATCTAATCGCATACGGGTAATAACTTTCTAGTAATCAATCTGTGGCTCTGTCTGTTATTCTCACTGAGCATTCATATTATACAGTATGTATAACTTTGTTGTTTTCAGGTCATAGAGAACCTTGATTCACTTTCATCCTTGCAAAGTTTATTTCTTGGAACTAATAAAATTACGAAACTTCAGAACCTTGAGGGCTTACATAACCTGACAGTTTTAAGTATTCAGGTACACATCTTTTTTAAATAACATTCTCAGATTTTTGTGGTGCTGTGTGTTGCCATACTAATTTAAATGTATTCCCAGAGTAACAGGATTACTAAAATTGAAGGGCTCCAGAACCTTGTTAGCCTGAAAGAGCTATATCTGAGCCACAATGGCATTGAAGTCATTGAGGGATTAGAAAATAATGTAAGCTATTTATAATAAATGCTTCCCCAGTAAACTAATAGTACAATATTTGTACCTAAAAATGCATGGTTACTTATCTTTACAGAAAAAACTTACAACACTGGATATAGCTGCCAATCGAGTGAAAAGGATTGAAAACATCAGCCATTTGACAGAACTGCAAGAGTTTTGGGTATGTAATAAAGACACAATACCTGTAATTAAAATAAATTATGTATCTGAGCGTGTACATTCTTTTTCCAGATGAATGATAATCAGATAGAAAACTGGTCTGATCTTGATGAGCTAAAAAATGCCAAGGCTCTGGAGACAGTTTATCTGGAAAGAAACCCATTACAGAAGGATCCACAGTACAGGAGAAAGATTATGTTGGCACTTCCCAGCGTTCGCCAGATTGATGCAACATTTATCCGCTTCTAAACTCCAACATGAATTCACCCTCCAATGTAACGCCTGCCCGAACTACAAAACACACACTTTTTTTTAAAATCACGAATCATATCTTCAGCACTTCCTACAGATGTACAATTCATTCCTTGCTTTCTCCCACGGTGTACTAAGCATACATCTTTGCATGTATGTATGTTCCCACTCATGCTGTCACCTGTACTATTGTGTGGAAGTGTATTTAAAATGGATGTTCAAAGTGGCATATCAAATCACCTATTTTCATTTCCCTACAATACACATTTGAATTTTTGTTTTGCATGTTGATAAAAAACAATACCCAATCTGTATGAGCAATTATATACTGGCCACTAAGTAAAAAGATAAATCAGCACAATAGTCCCAATATAAAATGTATACAATAGGTGCCAATTTATATTTTTTCAGTGCTTTGAGTGACTTGGTTTGGATTGATACTAATATGGATAAGAACCCTTGATATTAAACAGTCTGAATCATTAATAAAACATTCTTAACATTTTAATCCAATGCATGTCATTTAACTGTAATTAAAACAACTTAAATTTCTGTCATAATTTACAGTCTTAATTTTGAAATCAAAGCTTATCAGCAGGATGTTTATAAACCAGGTTACTGGTACAGCATTATTGTAAATAGTTAGTGTACAATTGTTCTTACATTACCTATTACTTAACACAACACATTCATAATTATCACTAGTAATATAATTTAGAACAGGGGTGTCCAAACTACGGCAGGGGCCAAATTGACCATATTGACCACCAGTCTATGGCCCTCTCCCTGTATATGTTTAAGTATGTCCTACATTTTAAAAAAGTTTGGACACACCTGAATTATCAACTTAATCATGATAAATGTAATATTTATGTTTAAATTTATGTTTTTTGCATCAATGCATTTATAGTTAAAACAATTTAACAGCTTTTCATGAAATGTTTCACCTCAGGGTTTAGTAACCATTTGTTGAGGATCAAATTATTCATCTTGATTGTCATATTTTATTTAAGGTAAAAATATTTCTTACCATTTTTGCTCCCTAATTAATTATCAAGTTGAATTTGTTTGAATTTTGTTTATGTTTATAAAGTATTGTTTTATATATCTATCTATATCTATCTATCTATCTATACATACATACATACATACATATATATGTATATATATATGTGTGTGTATGTATATATATAATGTTTATTATGTAAATGGAACTCTTGATCACTTCTGTCAGTGCTTTCATCACCACTCTGTAAAATTAGAACTGCGTTAAGTTAAAGGTGCACTATGTAACTTGTGTGGAGCCCGCCATCTGCTTGTCTCCATGGCTATGTTGTTGTCACTTGGTTTGGTAGCGTTCATGAAGATACATAAGTTCAATGCTATGCTTTGGAACATTCCAGGCAAAGCAATAACATATCCAAGGAAACAAGCAGGCAGCATACGCCAGAAAGGTTACATTGTACATAATGTTGTCCAAATTAAAATAAAAATTCAAAATAGCCTTTAATACCTAGTTATCAAGCCAAGCCCACTGGTTTTAACAGGGTTGAAATTATTTTGGAAATGAATGTATTATGCAAATAAAATCACATCACTTACCACAAGAGTTTTTATTTTAGACATTTACTAACCAACAGCAACAAATTCTGGCACACGTGATTTCTCAATTTCAGGTTTTCAAGACAAATATCGCTTAGTGTATCGCCTATGTATTTTTTATTTTTTTTCTTTTGGTCCAGTTCAATCTAGATATGAATGCAGGCTGCATGAGATTGGCAGAGAACTGCATTACCCACAGTGCAATGTCAAGTTTGGTGACGCACGGGGGCTCGCCAGGCTTGCGCGCCAGGCAGGAACAGGTCTGCAAAACGCATGCGCCACATTTATGTTGTTGTTTGTGGCGGTAAGATGGCGGCGCTCGGAGACAACTCAGCTCCGGGGATGAACGGGTTAATACAACAATTCACAGCAATAACAGGTATAAAGAAATTATATTTAAGCGTTTGAGTTATTAGGTATGTTTGGGATATGTTATAGCAGCAGTCCCTTTTGAGAAACGGCCATAATATTGTAGCGTAGAAGGAAGAAAACGACCGTCAAGAATTGCTCCAGCCCCTGCGCTGTCAGTGCTTGCACAAGGAAAAAGCAGTACCACTTATCTGCTAAAGTCGTATTTAAAAGTCAGTAATGCGCCTCTAAAGTCCTATTTGTTAACAGTTCTCCCAAACTGCATATATAAGGGGGTTCTATAGTTTGCATACTCTGGTTAGATGTGGTCTCTCGGTGGACATGTCTCTTTGCTCATTCTGGCTGCATGTTGTTTGATTCACTGGAATGGACGTCGGTAGTGGAGCTTTCGCCTCTTCAGCGGGGCTCCTGTCAGCCTCACTCTGGCAGAGTTGTGGTGGAGCAGAGTGTTGGGGCATGCACTTTTCGTTCAGTTAACACTTTATCCAACCCTGGGCACTTTGGATGTTTGTAGTATGTGTTTCGGTGGCATTTTTCTAATGGGAAAACAGAAGAAAGGCAGAATTAGTTGGATCTGCTGCTGGACTTAGAAAGTGAAACGGACATGCGCAGTACGTGTAAAGAGATGCCATTCGCCGAGGCTGAGCAACTCTACATTTTAGCACTGTGCGTAGAAAGGGCAATGCGTTATGTTTTTTTTTTTTATATATTTGTCAAATACAAAAATATGTCTTATTTATTTTAAGGTCGAAATGTAACTAACAGACAACTTGAGTTCAGCAATTTCAGAAGGCCTTTTTGTTTTATCATGCAATAATAAAGACTGAAATGCATTCTAAGTTTTTTTTTATTTTTTTTTTAATATATAATATATACAGAGTTATTGCTTGAAAGACAACCCTTCAAACTATTACAGGGGCCACAGAGAGTGTGGGAAAACATATGCTGGAAGCATGCAACAACAACCTGGAGATGGCAGTGACTATGTTTCTGGATGGAGGGGGAATAGCAGAGGAGCCCAGCACTAGTTCCAGCGCTACAGCCTCGAGCAGTAGAGCTCCTCCAACTGAGTAAGATGTGTTTTTGATCTTATAAAAGGAGGCATAGCTACTACACGCTGACTTAGGTCTGTTGCACTTGCATTGTACCAAAATGTCAGTCATTGATCATTGTTATTGTTAATTTTGTTTTTGTTAATAGTGAAGTAAGAGCTCCAATACCCCAAAAGCAGGAAATCTTGGTTGAACCAGAGCCATTATTTGGAGGTATTTTGGCACTGTATTTTTTTTTTTTTATATAAATTTCTGTTAAATAAATTAAAAATCATCTTTTAAAATTATGTTTGTTTTTCTATAGTGCCAAAGCGAAGACGACCTGCCCGTTCAATATTTGATGGCTTTCGTGATTTCCAAACAGAAACAAGTGAGTAAACATATTTTATTTTCTTTGTAAAATTGCTGCAAGCAATGGCATTATACTGAGAACACTGTTTCCGATATTAGTACGCCAGGAGCAGGAGCTGAGAAATGGTGGAGCAGTAGACAAGAAACTTAGCACCCTGGCAGACCTTTTCCGTCCGCCCATTGAACTCATGCACAAAGGAAGCTTTGAAACAGTAAGGAACCATTTACTCACAATTTTATACCATTCTGTTCATCTGGTGGATTTAGTACTTTTATTGACATTTAAAGGTGCATTGTGTAACTTTTCTGGTGAAGGCTCTACTTCTTTGAAGAAATGTTATTGCTTTGCCTGCAATGTTAAGTTCTCTATGTCCATGGAATCAAATGACTCCATCAGGATGGCTAGCTACGGGTCAGATCTGTGGAGAGGTGATCTCGCTCACTGTAAAAATGCATGTTTTTCAGTATAATGCCTGTAGTTGAATAAATGCAAGTTCAGAAGGTAAGCTTAATGCCATACTGTGGAACACTCCAGACAAAGCAATAGGCTCTATTCATGCTTACGTCACAAACCAGGAAGACGTTTGGAAAGATGCGATTACAACTTCCCAGGTTTCTTCATTTAAATGTCATTGTAGTGTTCTGTTATGTTTGGCTAATCAACAGTTACAACCATACCTCATTTTTCATAATTTCCTCACTGGCACACAACTCTGGGTACATGTGATTAGAAGAGATGAGGCACCAAATTCAAGATTATTCCAAAACGGCACATACCTATGCAGTCTTCATTTTACTGCTGATCATTTACTTCAGTGGGTTTGAACACAGTCAGTCGGCGAGCCCAGTGTCGTTAACTACACTGGAAGTTGGAATCTCATCTTTCCAAACGTCTTCTTGGTTTGTGATGTAACAAGAACAGAGCCTATAACATGTCTATGAAGATAAGCAGGTGTAAGACCCCACCTCCCAACAAAAATGTTAGATAGTACACCTTTAAGATAGCAACAGTTAGATTATACACTGGCTTTAAATAATAATATATTTCCATACAGGCAAAGGACTGTGGACAGCTGGAGAATAAGTGGCTTATGATAAACATTCAAAATGTTCAAGACTTTGCTTGCCAGTGCTTGAACAGAGATGTTTGGAGCAATGACGCTGTGAAGACCATCATCAGAGAGCATTTTATATTTTGGCAGGCAAGTCCCATGAATGAACATTTCCATTGTTATATAATAAACCATGTAAGAAAATGATCATCTTGTAATACTCTTGTCCATTATAGGTCTATCATGATAGTGAAGAAGGACAAAGATATATCCAATTTTATAAGCTAAACAAGTTTCCTTATATTTCAATCTTAGATCCACGTACAGGTGAGTTGTTAGATTTTGTTATAATTTTTATGTTCTAATATATGTTGCTAAAATAACCAAAAAACAATAATCGATTTGTAATCAAATAATTCAGTACAAGCTAATGTCCTTGTACTTGATGATCTAAAGCACTAATTAGTTTTTCACCAGTAAAGCCATCCTGTATAAAAACTGTGCCAATATCTCTGATCATTATGAGGAAGAAAACAGTGAGATGTTATTTGACAAGGTGTGTGTTTCCTCAGGCCAGAAGATGGTGGAATGGAACCAGTTAGATGTGTCATCTTTTCTGGAGCAGGCGACAGGCTTTCTTGCTGAACATGGGCAGTTAGACGGCCCATCCTGCCCTGCCCCTCCTGCAAAAAGAGCACGCTCAGTGAGTTACTATTATTGCTGTTGTGTTTAGTATATGATAATACATCTACCCTTGCTGTCTAACAATATAAACAAACACATTAAGTAACCGTAGCATTTGCTTATGCAGGAGAGCTTGATCGATGCCAGTGAGGATAGTCAGTTGGAGGCAGCAATACGTGCATCGTTACAGGAGACTCATTATGAGTCTTCAAATGTCCCAGACGCATCAGACTCCCTGAGATCTGATGAAGATTCAGAAGCTGAACCTTTCTCTGACAGCGAGGGGCCCATCTCTGTGGACGGTTCAGATGGTGAACTGCCTGAGCCCCAAGAAGAGAGAGGTCCTTCCACTAAGCATGCCTCAGCTCCGACCTCTGTCCCACAGCGATTGCATCGTGATAGTTCCCCTTCATGTCACAGAAAGTCCCCATACAAAGAGAACAACCAGAGTCACAAGAAAGAGGAGAGTAAAAAGAATCATCTGGAGACTCCAACTAACAGTGGACTTCATCCTCAGGCTGAGGTAGATTCTAAGAGTGACCACTGTACCAAAGCATCCAAAAGTGATGGACCTTGCAAAAAAAGCACTTCCAAATCCAGCGACATTGACTGCCCTGATGATAATGGTAAGATAACTGAACTAAATGTGCTTTACCAGTGACAAAGTTAGTTTTCAGTAAGAAACAGTGTATAATATGCACTGCCTTTATATCCATTTATGGATTTTGTGCAAATCATTACTTCCTGATTTGAAGGATTTGCCATGGCAGTGGTCCTCTGTTGTTATAGCAATAATACAATTCAAAGGGAAAAAGTTCTCACCAAATCCTTCAAATCAGGAAGGAATCATTTGCTTGAAACCTATAAATACAGGGACAATGACTACACATCAGAAGTACTTTCTAAAGCTTTTACGCTATCTTTTTAGGTCCTAAAGCCAGATTGATGCTACGTTACCCAGATGGTCAAAAAGAACAGATTTCATTGTCTTCAAAAGCAAAACTTCTGGTGAGAGATTGCTGTAATTCTTAACCTGAGAAATGAAATGCCTTTCATTCTAGTAACAGGTTTTCTCTTTCTAGGCATTGGTAAAACATGTGCAGTCAAAGGGCTACCCCAATGAACGCTTTGAACTTGTCACCAACTTCCCAAGAAGAAAGCTCGCCCATTTGGACTATGACATCACTCTGCAGGAGGCGGGGCTATGTCCACAGGAGACTGTATTTGTCCAGGAGAGGAATTAACCTTCAAAAGGCTCACCTCTGCTTGTTTTTTTTTCTGCTAGACCTCACCGTTTCACCAATGATCTGGGACAATGATTCTGGCTGTTGTCCAAGATCAAAATTTTTGTGGAATGAATGAAAGATGTGCTACTTCAATCAAATATTGACATCTCAACTGTCCTTTTAGGGCCCTTAATTTTGTCAGTTACATGATGATGACAGCATTATTGAAATTCACTTTTATATTCTGACCCACTTAACAATTTTCTTCAAAGAAAGACAGAACAGAATATAAGTTTCTAAAAGTATAGCACATGTGTACAGTCGAAGTGGTTCTGTAACGTTGGATGAGACACCACGGACTAATGAAGACGTACAGTATGTTCCAACAATGGATATTACAAGACAGACTTTATTTTCTTGCTATCCTGTCATTTCTTTGGGCAGGCAAAGGGAATTTTCTTAATTTGAACCAGTTTGGAAAAAATGATTTTATTCAAATACAAATTTCAACCATACATCATGTTTGGGATGTTATCACACGTAGAACTTAAGGACTTTTTTTTTATAAAGTTGGATCAGACGGATTAGGACATGGTCTTCAAGTTGTGACTTTGAAAGGGTAGGAAGTTCATCTCCTAAATCGGACCTAGACTCTACACTGAGATGGCTTGGTGAGACAGATAATTGGCTGTTGTAAATGTGTTTTTTTATATGCTGCCAAGAAAGTATGCTGATGTAAAATATACCCACCAAAATATGGGACATTGGTGTTTTGGTACTTATTGATTCTTCAACATTTGTTAATTGAATTTCGGTTACATAAATGGCACACACTGAAAGATATAGTAGTGTAGGTGTTTTTTACGTTACGTTTTACTCTAAATTTTACATTTTAATGTAGGGTTGGGCGATAAAATGATTCATGTGACAATTTTTTGTGATATTGTCAAATTGTGATTCAGTTCTTCTCTGTTTATAAAGTACACAAATTGTGATAAATTGTAATATGGCATATCGCCCACCCCTATTTTAATGTGATTTGAAATACTTCACAAGAAAAATATATATTTTTGTATTCTGATAAATAAATTCACCATTCTTTACATAAAATATTTTCTATTGAAATTTTGCTCTTCACTAAACCTGGAATGAGGGTCCATTTAAAAATGTCTCTACAGGGCAATGGTCAGAGGTGATCGAAAAGTTCTTGCAGCTGTACAAACATGATGACTTGAATATACAAATTTGCTCACAAAGAAGTGTTGTTTTGTAATAGTTGTGCAAGGAGCAATACAAATAAACATTTAGTAATATTTTACAAAAAAAATTAATTCAGAAACCAAAAACAGTTCTAATAACACTAGTAACTTGTAATGCTTTATGATGTGTAAAGAAAGGTGTCAGTGAGGCTAAGAGACTTGGGCAGTTTTTTTTAATGTTGCATAATGACACCGACCCCTGTACTTCTCAGAAAGACATCAATGAAAGTTAATGAATAATCTTTTGGGCATTTCAGGGGAAGCTAATTTTTAGATACCTTATTGAATTACAACTGTATAAAGTGTCAAATTAAATTGAAAATTTGACAAAAATTTATGGAGAACATCTGACATTATAAAAAGGACTTTTCACCAGACACCATGTTTTTTCACCTAGGATGGGTCTCATTCACTATCCATAGTCTTTTTCTGCACTATTTAAATATACTTTTCTGTTGTAAAGCATGTCATTATTTTATTCAGTTGCTTGTTGTTTCTTCTTGGTTAATCTTTTACTTAGGTATGAGATGCTATTGAGGAATCTGCAGTTCAGAATAGTTGGACATTTAGGAACTGTCACACTGATGGTGTCCTTACTGTTTTTGCCTCATCAACACTGTACACTAGTGAGGAAAAAGCACCCATTATTGACATACTTTATCTGTTCAAATCAATAATACAGACTCAGACATTCAGGCTAAACCAACATCACATATAGGAAGCAAATTGAGGTAATGATAAGGACAAAACAGACTGATACTCAACAATATGAACTCAACAATGGAGTTATTTTGAAATGCAACCTAGTTTGAATCCTGACAAAGAACTATAATATAATATTTGAATATGTCAGTGATAAGATAATGTCTGCATGGTGTTTACCTGTTACTAGAAGACAGATAAGGTCAGGCTTAGGTCACTCTATAGGTCATCAAGTGTGACTATATTACTACTTGAACCCTTGGAACTCTTCAAGTTGCGCTGTGTAACTTTTTAGGTGGAGGGTCCGTCACCTGCTTGTTTCTATGGATATGTCATTGCGTTGTGTGGAATGTTCCACAGTGAGACATTCAACAGCTCAATTTTACATTTATTCGATTGCAGGTGGTTTTATAGCTCAAAAATGACTGTAAGCGGTATTGCCTCTCCACAGATCTGACCTGTAAGGTTCAATACCTTACTGTGAAACATTCCAGACAAAGCAATAACATATGCATGGAGAAAAGCATCTGACAGACCCTCCACCAGAAAAGTTACACAATGCAACTCTAAAATGTGTTATTATTAACAGCAATTAATTATGTGATTTATAAATCAATATGATATACGTAAGCCCTTGTATTGGGCAATATTTACAGTTTAAACATCACACAGTGTGTTTGTGTTAACTATGTCTGCATATAAAAAAAATATATATGTTTCTGTTACAATTTTTTCCAAGTATTAGTAAGTGGAAATTATCATATCATGTTTTAACAGCACATTTTAGTTCAAAGATTAATGACATGATTACATTCTGGTGGTAATATAAATGATAGTAGTTGAATGTTCTTGATGGAGTAATTTGGAACTATCCGAGTGCAAGCACTAAGGTACAAAGGTGCACTTGTGCAGCAGCATTAGGAAACTCGAGTAAACGCTGACCTTTTTCCCTTTTTTTCAGTTCAATGAGGGACTGTCTATAAAAGCCTTTCCCACTGTCTCCTCTCTGCTCTGCTGACCTGGAGACCCCGCGGCCAACATGAAGCTTCTCCTACTTACAGCCTTTCTAGGCTGTCTGGGTAATATGATTTTTTTTACCAATCGACTGATGTATTATTCCAGAATATTAAATGTTCTAAAATGCTCTTTTTAATTTTTATACGTACAGCTACAGTTTTTGCAAACGCCCCTCCAACAGTCAAGTGGTGTGTCATCTCGGACCTAGAATTAACGAAATGTCAGGACCTACAGAAAAGCTCACCTGTTTTCTCCTGTGTCAGAAGAGATACCCCCCTTGCATGCATAATGGCTATTAAGGTAATGATATGGTCAGCGTAGTGTGGGCTTGGAAGTATTTCTGCTGGTAGTTGTGATAGGTTTTTGGTTAAGCTTGTCTTGGGCCATATTAAATCAATTCAGCAATGTGCAATAATGTGACAAAAATGGAAAAGCCATTTTGGCAATTATCTGTAGCACTTTGGAGGACTTAAAACACTTAACTCTATGTTTAACTATGTGTAAGCAATATGGCTTTATAGGGATGAAGATGGTTACATTAGATTTGGTGTCAAATCATACAATGCTATACGTCTCATAATTATATTTTGGTACCATAATTAACTTTGGCAACATCATGTGTTAATTCTAACAGGCTGGTGAGGCAGATGCCATTACTCTGAGTGGTGAGGACATTTACACAGCTGGACTGATAAATTATGATTTGGTCCCCATCATTGCTGAGGCATACATGGGTGGTAAGTTTTTACTTGTTGTTCACTGTTACAGTCACTGTCACTAATAAAACCAAATTTCTAATATCAGTTCCATCTACCCCATAGCCAATCATGATGCATGCTTCTACAGTGTAGCTGTGGTAAAGAAGGACAGTACAAGTCAATTTGGCTTGAGAGACCTTAGGGGAAGGAAATCGTGCCACTCTGCTCTGGGAGACTCTGAGGGCTGGAACCTTCCAATTGGTACTCTGATAAGTAATGATGTGATCCCTTGGGAAGGTACTGATGACAGACCTCTACTCCAAGGTAATACCACAGAAGAAAACTATATATATTGCACTTAACACTGAAGGGCCTGGCATCCTTAATTCTCTTATTTCTCAGGTGTGAGCGAGTTCTTCAGTGCCAGCTGTGTCCCTGGTGCTCAAGGATATCAAAATCTCTGCCAGCTTTGCAAAGGGGACTGCTCACAGTCCACAGGCAATGAATACTTTGGTGATGCTGGAGCCTTTAAGTTAGTATAATCATCACTTTTAGCCATTACGCTAGTATTTTAAGAAATTTATGTGACCAGAAATACTTGGTGTACTCAACAGATGTTTGGCAGACGGTGCAGGAGAGGTGGCCTTTATGAACCCTACAGAAATTCCAGGTAAGAAGACCAATAACAAAAGAGATGGGTCACTGAAGTATTATATGAAATGTGCTTAACTTTTAACAATGTTCATTTTGAAGCATCTGAGAAAAACAACTATGAGCTGCTATGCCAAGACAACACCAGGCAAGCCGTCAGCAACTACCTAACATGCAATCTTGGAAGACAACCAGCACGTGCCGTTGTCACCCGCAAAGATAAAGTATTAGCTGAATTGATTTGGACAAGCCTTACATCTGTTCGCGTAAGAGATATAAAAGAATAATTTCCAAATAGCAACTATATAATAATAAAACTATAATATAATTGACTTTCTTTTAGGGTTTTAACTTGTTCATATCTGCAAGATACGGGGGCAAAAACTTGATGTTCACTGACACAGCAACAAAGCTTCAACAAGTTCCCCCAGATACAGACTCCTTCCTGTATCTTGGTGCTGAATACATAAGTAAGATCAGCTCCCTCATCAAAGGTACACTTTAATTGTCCTTGTACTATACTGTCAGATAAAAAGCTTCTAGTCTTTGCTTGATGCCTAGATTGACTTTTCAGACTCACGTCACCCCCAGTCTCCAGTCTGCTGTGAGATGGTGCGCTGTTGGACACCCAGAGCTTGCTAAATGTGACTTGTGGAATGGCAACAGTTATAAACCCGATTCCGACTCCAATGCTATTGAATGCCAGTCTGCTTCAACAGTGGAAGAATGTTTCAAGAAAATTATGGTATAACACATGACAAAATCCTTTATGCTGATGTTTTGTTTTGCTCTGACAGTCTTTTTCTGTCTGTAGCGTCAAGAAGCTGATGCAATAGCAGTAGATGGTGGGCAGGTGTATACAGCAGGGAAATGTGGTTTGGTTCCAGTCATGGTAGAACAGTACGATGAAGGTTTGTACAATATATATGGACAAAATAAAACTGTTAAGGCAAAGAATAATAATAATAATAAAAACATATTTTTCAACTTCACAGCTAAATGTAGCAATTCTGGAGGTACTGTATTTTCTTAGCATTTAACATGTCTGAGGTATCTCTTTTCTTGTGTACTAGTTGTATTTTTTGTGTTATAGGGTCAGCATCCTCTTATTATTCTGTGGCTGTGGTTAAGAGGGGCTCAGGAGTAACCTGGGCAAACCTTAAAGGAAAGAGATCTTGTCACACTGGCATCGGCCGCACAGCAGGTTGGAATATCCCCGTGGGCATTGTCCACAAACAAACAAATAACTGTGACTTCAGTAAGTACAAGAAACACTAACTTTAAATACTACGGGCTAGTGATTTAATAACTGTATTTTTTGTCTCTTTGTTAGGCACATTCTTTAGTAGTGGGTGTGCCCCTGGAGCACCCTCTGACTCTGTATTTTGCCGGCAGTGTAAAGGCAGTGGAAAGGCTGTTGGAGATGAGGCAAAATGCAGCCCCAGTCAAGAAGAGCAGTATTATGGCTATGCTGGGGCTTTTAGGTAAGAGAAGGTGTGGGTTGTAAGTTGGTGTATTACTCACCACTAAGCATTTATTCTGGTTTTGTAGATGTCTTGTGGAAGATGCCGGTGATGTGGCTTTCATCAAACACACAATTGTTGGGGAAAACACAAATGGTAAAATTTCAACCGATTTGAAACTGACCTATTTTACAACCCTGAAAGATGAAAATCATTTTTTAAATATATATATTTGAAGGAAATGGTCCTGACTGGGCAAAGGATTTGAGATCTGACGACTTCCAGCTGATCTGTCCTGGGAAGGATCCAATGCCAATTAGTGATTATGAACAATGCCACTTGGCAAAAGTGCCTGCACATGCTGTGGTTACAAGGCCTGAAATGCGAACTAAAGTAGTCAAGACTCTCGTGGATCAACAGGTTCTGATTTTTAGTATTAGCATGTAATTTTAGAAGGTGTATTGTTTATTTAATAGAAGATACACCTTCAAACAAAGGAGCCTGTAAAACGTGTATGAATGGCTATGATTCTATTTTACAGGATAGATTTGGTGTACATGGCAGTGATGATAAATTCAGGATGTTTCAGTCAGAGGGAGGAAAGAACCTTCTCTTTAAAGACTCCACCAGGTGTCTCCAGGAGATACAAGCCAAATCATATGACACCTTTTTGGGGGAAGAATACATGACTGCCATGGACTCACTCAGGCAATGCACTGCAAATACCCCAGGTAAGATCAAACCACTCACTAAAAATGATAGCTTGTTGCTGTGTTTCATGTGTTTTTGATTTTCCTTCCTGATAGATCTGGAGAAATCTTGCACTTTCCAAACTTGTCAATAAAATCATTTGGGAATGTTTTCCAAAAGATTCTGCCCACTCTCGTGCATTTCTGCAAAAAGACTGCCAAAACATCTACAATTTAATGTAACAGAAAATGTTGTTGCTGAGTGTATTGTTTTTCTTTGTAATTTCTCAAATAAAATATAAATGGGCAACAGTAAAATGTGACTTCAAACTTTTTTTGATATCACTTTCCTATATCCTAACGTGTTCACCAGCAAAGTAGACAGACTAAACTAGGGGTGTCCAAATAGCAAACATATTTGAAGCAATACAATGAATCAGTCACACAGGGGCTTTTAACCAAGAGCCACTGCACGTTGAGCTTGAGCTTTATCATAAAGCGTTGTTATAGAGCTTATGATGGTGGCATTACTTAGCCTTTGTGTGCAATAAAAAGTGCTGCCTATTATTACATGGACAATTGGGAAAAGGCCATAGTTAAGACACAGTTTATATTTTTGTTTTAGTGTGTGAAGCTACTAATACGCAATTTACATTGTAATGCGGGACGTATGGATTGGTCATAAAAACAAGGATATTATTTTCCTCTATCATTCATCACCATTCCTGTACCACATGACTGAAGTAACAATATCATCATTTTAATTTTCCCGGAAGTTCCCCATGCGGCTGCTCGGAGGCTACCGGCTCCGCACATTCAGCGCTATGGCCTCGCTGTGAGTGTCCTCAAAGGCACTGAGTACACACCTTACCGGCAATCCGTAACCATCGACGCCTTGATCATGGACCTCCAGTCCAGGGGGTTGTTTCGGGGCCACTGGAGTAGTCAATAGTGTTCCCAAAGTATTGTATTTCTCAATTTTTAACACTGTCACTTTTGCATCCCGGGGATTTAAACTGCAGTGACAGAAGTGGCATTCATCCATCTGCCGGTTAGCCTAGCACGCTAAGTCAGTAACCAAGGGAAGATTACTGTTTTCTGAAGAAAAGGAATACTACCGTAAACAGAAGACACTGATTACTGAAGCCCTGGTACCTGAATTTCTATCAAACAACACAAGAGTTACTCATTCCCGGTAAGAAAAATTCACTTCAGTTGCTAGCCAAACCGAGGCTGGCGACATTATCTCAAAGGCACAGTTAGCATTAGCCGATCAGGCCTAACCGGCTGTCAATCCTCACATAACCTACGGTGCCAATTCAACAATAACATGAACACTGATAAAAACAACATGTAATTGTAATCTACTCACAACTGCAGTAGTGTTCGTAAATGTACCAAAACGAGGCAGGGCGATTTAATATTTTGGCTAGCTATCTAATGTGGGTACTAGGTGCTACCCGGGTACATATGGGTAGAGAACTACATGTTGCTCTTTCAGTTATAATGTCTAGTAAAAGTAAGCCATATCTCTTTAAAACAATGCTTACTTTTAGATGTTCCCCTCACTGAAATCCTAATCACTTTCAATTTCCTGTAAAGTTCAAATGGCCTGTATTCTTCTTAAAACCCACCAGTGCTAAGTTGCTAACCTTAACGAACAATTGCTTCATTGTGATAATATTGAAGCGATACAACAAATGCTCCCTTTTCTCTTTCCATATCTGAAAAAAATATACATATATGCATATATATATATATATATATATATAACGTGACTATTTATGAGCAGCAAAGGCTAGACCAGTGACCGGTGGGGCACGCAACATTTGCTAAGAAGTACTTACTGGCTAGCAGCAGGCCTAGATAATTGTATTTTATTGCACTGTAATGAACACAAATATGTTTCTACATCAATCCTATTTGATTTGATTATGCCTGTATCGGTTTTACTAATTACTGCCATTTTAGTCTGGGTCGCACATGGGTTGATGCTCTGTATAAAACAAGCATGGCATTGCGTTAGCAGCTAATGCATATCGTAGTTCTCTTGGCAGCAGGTGTACACTACATGACACGTATGCATGTAATGTTAGTAAAAAAATAAAAAAATATTTTTTACTCCCTATGTGTGTAGGAATTGTTACTGTAGAATAAAAGTCTAGTATTTCTTGTAGTCTCGGATAACATGTCAAATGACCTTTGACCCCAGGTATCCATTTTCTTAATTCCTCCAATTACATAGTTGTGGTCCCAAACAGTTACAGTCACAGACTGGTCTGGAGCAATGTTTGCCTTTTAAATCATCTGCTCATTGCACATTGTTAGGTTTAGTCTTGCATGTAAATTTTCAGGTAATATTTTAGCCACTTTCCTCAAATACAAAATAATTTGATAAACTTGGAAATATCAAGTGATTTGATATTGTATGAATGCCATGTGTAATCATAAGCACATTAGACCACAGCCTCATTGTCAGTGTTACTACATGTCTTGCAAGACGGTTGATGTTTCATAAATTTATTGTCTTAAAATTTTTTTTTAGACCGGCTGGCAACAGAAAGCCACCCTAATGCAGAGCCACACAAGAACGTGAAATGAACAAACCGCCACAGCCTATAACGGGACCTTCTTCTGTCCCAAACCCTGCCCCTTCCCCAGGACTGACACAGGTGAGCCTCTCTGAAGTTTCTCATGCCTTTTATCTATTTTAATGGGAACAATATAAATATTTTACTATGCCCCCACAATTGATGCTCTTTTAATTTCTTAATACGTTTGCACATTCTGTTAAATTGTAAATTAAAAAGGATTATGACCTTTAAATATTACAGCCCATCATTTGACTTTTGACACATGGAGTGACCTCCTGGAATGCACAGAGAGAGGCTGTTCAATGTAAAAGCAAGAAAATCATGAGCTACACTCACAATAGAAGCAGCATTTGTCTGTTTTCCTTCAATGCAGCAGTGCGCAGCACCGCAGGCTGTCACACCCTGACCACTCACAGCAGCAGCACTGGACAGTACATACGTAGGAGGGACTGTCGCACCAGAAGAGAGGGAGGACACGGGTGAAGAGTGTTCCCTTCTATTAACTGTGTCCTTTACAAAGTTAATTTTTGTCCTAACTTGGAAAAAAAATTGACACAGACTTTATCATTTAATTTATGTGACTTTATCAAACTGTTATTTTCCAACTAATATTTTAATGTTTGATCATTAATGACGTAATACACACACCAACCTAACTGCCCTAATAAACAAAGTCCCTTATAGAAATCCATGGGTAAACCTCTTTACCTTCCTGACCTAAAACGTAGCAGGCCAGTCAAAAAAGGTTGTTAATCATGCCAGTAATCAAAGTATGTTCTGTCAAGTGTAATATTTGGCCCTCTGGCAACTTCTGTGAGTTTATGTCTGTAGATGTGACATGTCAAATCTGAGCTCATTTGGACCAAACCCCGGGGACTTGAATCTTTTTGTAGACACCCAAGTCAAAACGGCGGCGAATGTTTGATCCAATATGGCCGACTTCCTGTTCGTCATAGGGGTGCAGAATGATTGACTTTTTCGCTTGTCTCCTAGAGTTCTATCATATATCCGAATTTCTGACGAGGGGTATTGTTTTCGCTCGGTTTCTTCCGCTCTTTTATTATTATTTTTCCTTGCAAACGATCGCGATTTTGAGGGCCTAAACATCGACGAAAAGTCCCCAAACCGGGTATCAAATCGATCGGCCCGGTGAAAAATTTCATAAAATGGGCATCGCGACAATGCCCAAAGCCCCCCCCACTCAACAGCGCCCCCTAGAAATTTGAAAATTTTGAAATGAATGGGAGGCTGAGAGGCATATTTTGTCGTACAGTCACGAAATTCGGAGCAGTGATAGAACTAGATTTTCCATGATTAGCATTGGTATTGTTTTTCGTCTGTTTCTTACGTTTGTTTGTTTATTATTATTGGCCCTCGCCGCGCCGGGGCGAGGGCCACCATCGCCGCGCGCGGCTTTAATTCAACTCTTATTCCTTTAGGCTGCCTACGGTCCTGGACAACCAACACCTCTCGTTTTTGCCCCTCCACAAATGAACTCCACACCTCAACCTAGACAGGTATTGTACATGGCCTGGTTGTTTCTTTGACCATGTTGGGTTTTGTCATGCGTGAAAACTTCCCCCACACTTTTACATGGCCTCTTAATGGCTTAGGCCAACTATCTTCTTAAACTTAAATCTTAAATTCTGCCTTTCTTTTTGCTGTCCTACCAGTTTGCTGCAGGGCCCCGCACTTTACACCAACAGGTACTAACAACCCTAAGTGTTTTTAACTATCCGTTTAGCTTCACATAAAGTCGCATGCCAATATATTAGTTTAGTTGTGATTTAGAAATTAGTAGATTATCATGAAGTCATCTGTGAGTTACTACTTTGTTTAGTCAGCATTCTGAACTTGTCAGCAAAACTGGATTTGATATTTCTGATTATGAAATACTGTTCGATCTTGTTGATGATGCATGCTACATTGAAACTACCACCTGCAGGAGTTTAGGAGATTCATTACAAAGATGCAAAAACAACCCTTTATAGGTTTCAGTACTGAAATACTACTTTTCTTCTTTACAAACTTAATGAACCTCGCTTTCCACAATGTCTCTTGTCTCCATTTTCACCCAATTCTCATTCCTTCTCTTGCTCTCTGCTCATGTGTTTTGCGGCTGAAGGGTGGATACAGAGCACTACAGGTAAAAGTTCTTTTTAGATTCTCTTTTTAAGGAGTACAGACTCTATCTCTTGAGTACAGTTCATGCAGTACTATTTAACTCAAGCACTGAACATGCCATGGAGAGTTCACGTTGGTGCTTACCATCAGGTTGAACGGTGTTCTGCTCGTCTGTTACTATAGCTGTTGTTGATCTGGTCCATCTTTCTAATCTCACTGACCACGTACAGTAGAGTGTTAACTTTGTAATTTGTAACAAATGCATTTATAGTCAATTGTGTCTTATATGTTCTGGTCACAATGGCTATTTAACTATTCCAATGTTTTTAAACGGAAACCTTTGTAAAATTCTTTCTAATATTTTTTTTTTTAAATGTAGGGTTAAAAAACCCTACATTTTACAAATATTCTTTTGGTCACATTGGAAAATCCTTTATTAAAATAATCGATTTAACTTCAGGGAATAAAGACAGTATATTTAGTCAGAATTGTTATTTAATATTGATACCAGTGTCTCAGGTATTGAAATAAACTAGGGTTGGTCCAATACTGATCCACCTTTTTTTCAGATATTAGTATTGGCTCATATTGGCTCTTGCA